TCCCAGTACTTTTTACCTCATTGATAAAATCCTTGTCCTGTTTCCCAATAGGGTCCTCATTCCAGCTCTGATTGTAAACACCATTCTTCATTTCTCTTAGTAATGCCTTTAGAGAATCTATTTGTTCTGTTAAAATTAGAATTTCACGGAAATTGTTTTCCAAAATCTGGCTTTCTCTCCTGTAAATGGAGAAATACAATGAGAAAGAAAGGAGGAAGCTTCATGTCCATGTAACCAGTTAGGATGGGGCTTCAGGACACCAGCAAAGAGAAAAGCCTTTGAGCTGTCTTGACTCGTGTGTCAGAGTAGAATTGAACTCCATGAATTTTTGAGTGGCAGTTATTTAGAGGTGAGGAGCTTCTGAATGGACTTCAGCTTCCAAACACACATATCAGCTAGGTACTTTGACCATTCACACCACTCAGAGGCTTTTAAAGAATATTGCTGAAGAGATATTCTGGAATAAGTGGAGATCAGGGAGGCCCATGTGTTTAACTCATTACTATTTCACCTCATATGACACATGAACATATGACACACACAGAAAGCTTTCTTGGGGACATTCTAGTGCTTGGTGCTGCATTCTCCCTGGAAATATAGGAATGAACCAACCTTTCTCTTCCCTTGAGGAAGCTAAGGCTGTATTGACCTGAAGCTGTATGACACTATGTGAGTGTACACAGAACTCCAAAAAACAAACTCACCACCCTGAGTTAGGTATGACTTATAGCAACTCTACATTTTATTATATATATGTACATACACATATATATAAAGATACACACACACACATACACAGAGAGAGAGAGAGAACCCTGGTAGTGTACTGGCTGTGCGTTGGGATGTGATCTATCTACATGGTCAGCAGTTCAAAACCGCCAACATCTTCATGGGAGAGAGATTGGTCTTTCTACTCCCTTAAATAGTTACAGTCTCAGAAAGCCACAGGGGTTTGCTATAAGACAGCATTGACTTAATGGCAGTGATGTATATATATTCCAAGTGAGATTCATACCGGGCATACAAGGATGGTTCAACATCAGAAAAACAATCAATGTAATTCATCACATTATGAAAGAAAAGAACCACATGATCATATCAATTATGCAGAAAAAAATATTAAAAAAAAATACAGCATCTATTCCTATTAAAGACAGTTAATAAACTAGGAATAGAAGGGAAATTCCTCAACATAGTAAAGGTCATGTATATAAAATCAACCACTGACATTATTCTCAATAGAGAGACACTTAAAGATTTCCCCTTACCAATAAGAATCAGACTAAAATGCCCTTATTATCACTCCTACATGATATTGTGCTGGAAATCTTAGTCAGGCCTATATAGCAAAATAGGAAATCCATATTATCAAGGAAGAAGTACAACTCTATTTGCTGATGGTATGATCCCATATATAGAAAACCCCAAAGACTGGGCAAAAAAAAAAAAAGTTGTTGGAACTAAATGATATTCAGCAAAGTGGCAGGTTACAAGATCAATATACAAATATCAGTCAAATTCCTTTATGTTAAGAGAGCTATGAAAAGAAACAAGGGAACCAATATTATAATAGCTAACCAAAAGATGAAATGCTTAGGAATAAGTATAACCAGAGAAACAAAATACCTGTACATATATAACTATTGAGCTCTACTATAAGAAAAGAGACCTACACAAACTGAAACCTATGCCGTGAGTTGCAACATAGTGAAAACGCTAATTCTATCAAAGCAATCTACAGATCACCACATTTATATACAAAAGAAAGAAAATCAAGATAAAACATTGCAAGAGAAGAACAAAAAAGGAGGAGGCCTCTTATTTTTTTTATATAAAAACCTGCTACACAGGCATGATAGGCAAAATAACCCAGTACCAGTATAATGGTAGATACACAAATCAGTAGGACAGAATGATCCAAGTAAATCCAGCCACCTATTGACAGCTGATCTTTGACAAAGGCTGAAACATATAAAATGGAGAAGAGATAGTCTCTTCAACATATGAGACTGATGAAACGTGATAGTCATTTGCAGAAGAATCAGACAGGACCCATATCTCACACCATACCCCAACCCCTCCTCCCAATGAACTCAAGATTGATCAGAGACCTAAATATAAAATATGGAACTATGAAGATCATCGATTTAAAAAATATACAAACTTAGGGGCCCTTATATTGTATAAATACACCATCAAACATAATGTTAACCACAAACAGCAGAAAATAAACTAGATGACTGGGACCTTCTAAAAGTTACACATTTGTGTGCATCAAAAAATTATACCAAAAGAATAAAGAGAACCCACAGACTGGGAAAAATGTTTGGCAGTGGCATATTGATGAAGGGACTAATCTACAAAATGTACAGAAAACATCAACACCTAGACAACAAACAATGATAAATAATCAAATTTTAAAATAGAGAGAGGACACGAACAGAACAAAGGACTTCAGCAAAGACAACATTCAGATAGTCTAAACATGTGAAAAAATGTGAGCCTTGCAAATCAAAGTAGCAATGAGATATCATCTTAGCCCAGCTACAACAGCTATATATATATATATATATATATATGAAAACAACAAGGGTATGAGAAGAGCAGTCAAACCACCATTGAAAGTAATATGACATCTCAAAAATGTAAGACTAGAAATACCATATGGCTTAGTAATTTCTAAACATAGTATATATTCTAGAGAAATCTCTAAGACTGTGGCCTTTGGTCACCCTTCATGTCTGAAACTGAATTTATCCCTGTGTTACAAGAAATAACCATTTAAGATCAAAAGGGCAGCATTTACCCAAAGACAAAGTTCACAGGGTTAGGAAAATAACACTAAATGGACATGGGAAACAAGGAGAGGAAGTGGGATACACGATAGTACATTGAAGAGGTTGTAATGGATAAATTGAAACAAAATGGGTATTGCTTGTTGGCTGTCAAGTGGATTATGTGCTCTGTAAATCTTCACATAATTCACAATCAACAGTATTTTTTAAAAGATAAATCCTATATAATATTTTTCAAAGTTTTAAAAACACATGTTAAAAATTTGAGAGAAACAATAGTCTAGAAGGCATAAACACTGTTGGATTAGAGTTTATTCTCAACAGTTTTTGTTCTATGCAAAAAACTATTAACAGAATGGAAATTATAGTTTTAAATTTGTGCTCCAAATCATTAAGCATATTTTAAATGATTTTAATGGCTTCATAATACTCCATAACATGGATATACTCTCACAAACCCTCTGTTTTTTTCATCTAGGTCATTTTTATTTTGGTGGGGTTATAAGTAATGTTGAAAGCATATATTTTTATGCCAGTATATATTTTTAAAGGAAAGATCCACAGAGGAGAAATGCTATATTAAAAGTTTGTAATTACCTAAGGTAATACATTTAATAATCATGCATTAATAAACATGTATAGTAAACATGTATGTTTACTATAAAGGAACATAAAGATATTCAGAAAAGTTGAAGAGGAAAAATGACCTAAAATTTCACTCTCAGAAATCACTTGTTAATAGTTGGTGACATCATTCCTGGCATCCCTCTATGCATATATTCAGCTCCAATTAGAAGAAGAGAAAAAGGGTTCTGGATGCATAGGCATTAAAGAAATAGAGGACCTGAGACAAGTTAATCTGCTCACGCTATATTTAACATTTAGAATATCGTGCTTATTTTTGTTTGGATTTGTCAGAAGGAAATAACTCAAGAAAAAAATTCCCTCCCTTATTTTTGTATATATTCTTCTTCTTCTTTTTTTTTTTTTTAAGATTTGCCTTTTATGGTGGACAAGAGGAAAAGGGAGAAAATGTTCTTGACTCGCATGAAGAATGGTTACAATACCATAGAGAATAATGATTAATTTTATAAAACTAGAGATAATTCCGTATTTGAAACCATGCCAGAAAGCCCCACATATCAGTAAATCTGACTCACTTTAAAAATTCTAATTGTTCTTTTGCCATACGAAGTCTTGCCTAAAAAAGAAAAATCACCATGAATTCCCCATATTCAAGTGGGATAATGCTTATTAGTATTACTGAGGAAACGACAATTCAGCATTTGCTATACTCTTCATATTTGACATACATTACATGAGGACTGTGATACGTTGTCAGCGTACGAGAAGCTGGCATCTTTTCTGGCCTTAACTGTGAAGAATTCATGTACTTGGAGGATCTGATGCAATAGTAAAATCAATTTGATAACAAATAATTTTCTACTGTAGTTTTGTAGGAAGCTACAATATGGGGTGTTATCGGGCCAGGGAGAGGGAAGGAGGAAACAGACTTAAAGGGTGAGACCCTGGAATGGCCCTGTGGGCCGGGGAGCTGCACTGAGTAGTGTGAGAAGTTGGAATACAACCTTGGCAGGCCAAGCTGAGCCCCTTAGGTATAGTCCTGTAAACATTGAGGAGGCACCTCATTCGGAATTGAGTGGTGTGCTGAATTTGGGATTAGAGTAGCGGTAATCATCAGAAGATTCACTGACTATTTACCCAGTGTCTAATCTCCAGGATGTCTGGAATGAGCTACAGCTTGTTTGGATAGGGATGGTTGTGCTAAATTGAGCATGATCATGGGGAAATACCATTTCTTGGATAGATAACTGGATTGCGTGACTGTGAGCCACTCTTGGAGGCGGCCGCGGAGGACGTAGATGCACGAAAGATGCCGGATGGAGAAATGGAAGCAACACTGATTTCTTGCTTTTCAGTGCTAGGAACCCCTTGCTGCCTCCACCTGTGCCCATTAAGACAAGTTCCAGCACAGATTTGGCCTCCACCTGTACCCTCTCAGCTTGTCCTGCTATATCTGTGCCACTTTCTCTCACAAATAACCACACGAGTTTGCACATTCTGGACTCAACACACAAGTACGCACACCCACACACACACACATGCATATAGCCATAAACACATCCTATCATGCTCACATAACAAGTGCATGCATGCTCACACATACATGCAGGCAGTTATATATATATACACATTCATGCATACAAATGCACACACACATGCCCTGCATGCATTCACACACAAATGTTCATATACATGAAATGTATGCACACAGATTCTACTCCGCTTTGGGACACATGGAGGTCAATAATATTACCTAATGTGTACAACCAGAAAATAAATGGATGACACTAATATTTACGAGTAGAAGAAACCAATAATAGAATGGACAGGCTGGTCAGACTGCAGAAGAATAAAGATGATCCCCTTAAAAGCATTCCAGTTAATATGGGTGAGCAGCAGTGCACACTGAGAAAATGGAATGGATTGCCCTTTCTTTCCCTATCTGTAGCTTCCCTTCCCAAGATATTTTACTGAAAATGGCCAGTGAACCATTAGAAATGTGTTATCTCAGATTACATTTCTAGAATGTGGCCTACATCCGTACTGAAGGATAATAAATTACCCAAAAAAAGGGAATCTGATGTAAGTAACACATTCAATGGAGTTTAAGTTACTCTAAAATCTAGGGCCTCAACAGTAGTTTCTGGGATTTGATCATATCTTTAAAGTTGTGCAGGATTTCATTTTGCTTGGATCCACAATCAATATTCATTTCTTTTTTTTAATCATTTTATTAGGGGCTCATACAATATTTATCACAATCCATACATACATCAGTTGTGTAGACCGCATTTGTACATTCATTGCCCTCATCATTCTCAAAACCTTTGCTCTCCACTTAAGCCCCTGGCATCAGGTCCTCTTTTTGCCCCTCCCTCCTGGCTCTCCCTCCCTCATGAACCCTTAACAATTTATAAATTATTATTTTGTCATATCTTACCCTGTCCAACGTCTCCCTTCACCCACTTTTCTGTTGTCCATCCCCCAGGGAGGAGGTCACACATAGATCCTTGTAATCGGTACCCCCTTTCCAACCCACTCTCCCTCCACGCTCCCAATATCGCCACTCACACCACTGGTCCTGAAGGGGTCATCCGCCCTGGATTACCTGTGTTTCCAGTTCCTATCTATACCAGTGTACACCCTCTGGTCTAGCCAAACTTGCAAGGTAGAATTGGGATCATGATAGTGGTGGGTGGAGGAAGCATTTAGGAACTAGAGCAAAATTGTATTTTTCATTGTTGCTACATTGCACCCTGTCTGGCTCATCTCCTCCCTGAGACCCCTCTGCAAGGGGATCTCCAGTGGCCTACAAATGGACTTTGGGTCTCCACTCTGCACTCCCCCCTTCATTCTCTATGGTAAGTTTTGTTCTGATGATGCCTGATACCTGATCCCTTCGACACCTCACGATCGCACAGGCCAGTGTGCTTCTTCCATGTGGGCTTTGTTGCTTCTGAGCTAGATGGCCGCTTGTTTACCTTCAAGCCTTTAAGACGCCAGATGCTATATCTTTTGATAGCCGGGCACCATCAGCTTTCTTCACCACATTTGCTTATGTACCTATTTGTCTTCATTGATCGGATCATGGAGGTGAGCACACAATATGTGATTTTTTGTTCTTTGATGCCTGATAACTGATCCCTTTGGCACCTCACGAATACACAAGCTGATGTGCTCTTCATTGTGGGCTTTGTTGCTTCTGAGCTAGATGGCCGTTTGTTGTTTTTAATCACTTTATTGGGGGTTCATACAGCTCTTATCACAATCCATCCAGGCATCCATTGTACAAAACTGAAGACATAGTCAAAGCCTATCTAATTTTGTAGCATATTAAATTGTAAATGAGTGAAATACAAAATTTCTTAGTGAACACATCACCTGGTAACTATAAAGCCTTGAGCCATATTCTGCAATTACATCATATAATTGCCTGGGTTTTTGAGGAAAATCGTTGCCTTTAAGCCATTCACAATTTCGAAGTCCTATTAAAAAAATAGGTTAGAGTTTTTTGTTAATTGGAAACATGTTTCTAAAATAGTTGATATACATTTAACATGAATTTTACTATGCATGATATACATGATCTTAACAAAAAAAAAATTGGAGTTCTATTTAATTCCACTGAACTAATGTCCACATCAGTAGTGTCTCAAGCACTCTTGCACTTTGACTAACAAGTTGGCAAGCTTACACCAAGTTGCAAATACAAAGGAGACATTTGCATTCATAATAAATACTCCTATCTATATCTAATTCAATCTTAAAAGATGTCAAGGCAATATAGACTGTAATTTCCAAAATGAGCAAAGTATATATCAATTATTATACTGTACACACTGCTGTCTCTGCACACAGGCACTGAAGTGGAGACTCAATACAGCCAGTTGAACTCCTGTGGTCGGGTCTGAGGTAGTGCCGGGAGGACATTTCTGCAAGGAGAGACTGAGGCCATGTAACAGGAAGGTCCAATGGTAGCAGTCCAGATGCAGAAAGGAGCTGAGCCATGTGCAGGTCTTATAAGAAACCACAATACCCAGTCTCCCGGCTCCCTGAGATGAAATACACACTCTAATCCATACAGATGCAGGTAGAAAACAAAGGTCCACTCACTTTGGGGAGGCAGGGAGCTGGGATAGCCAGCAGTGTTGGAATCCACTTGCAATCACAATGGAACACCACCCAGCATACTGCCATTTATAAAATGCTACTGCATGACAATAGCTAGGTTGCAATCTTGGTTCTAATGGTAACATTTTGCTTCAAGCTGGTAATATATTAAAGAGCAATTTTCTGATTGTAAAAAGGGGGTTGTGGTTTGTGATACTGGAAAACTGCAAACTGCATGTTCAACGGTCATTTCTTCAGGAATGATATGCTGAGCAAATATTTGCTTGTCACCGTCTCCCAAGTTGAGTCAACCAAATTTAGAAAAGATGACTTGTGATGTGTGAAGTGTTTGCAAAACAAACGAAAAACTAAGAATTCCTAACTTAGTAACAACTTTTGTCATACTATATAATAATTTTAGGAGAGGAAAACAGCAGTTTCCAAATTTTCTTCATTTCAAATTAAAATCTTTATTATTTTTACAATCATAATATATACTGTATCATACCAGTAACTTCTAGCATGTTCTGTGGTCTCCATTTATAAATGCAAGTCATTTCATTGCGACTTCTCTTATCACCTAAAAATATCCCGTGAAAGGGCTTTAAAAGTAATTAGACGGTAAGACTTACCTATGAGAATAAAGGTCAATATAAGGGTCATACTTATGGAAATCTTCCGTGATCTAATTAACCTAAAAACAAAATTTCAAATTTTAAATACAATACATACCATTAACTTTTTTATTTGTTTATCACATTTTCATTGTGAATTATGTGGAGGTTTCACTTTTCATATAATCAATTTTGTATTCAGTTTAAATTAGATATCAACTAACTCTCCTTAATAGCTTATTCTACACCCTTCCTTTGATTTCTCTTCTCCCTCTTGTAGATTATTATCTTCCTCTTCACCCAAGTTAATACTGGTCAACCCTATAGCCCATTGCCTCCTCTTTCCTCCCGTGCCCTCCCCGCCTTGGTAATATCCAAAGTCCGTGCCCCTAATATGAACGCCTTTCTCTTGACTTTTCCCTTCCTAACAGTGGCCTCAAACAACATTTGCCTTTGGTTAGCTGACTAATTTCACTCAGCGTAATGTTCATCCATGCCGTGAGGCACTTCGTGGTTCCGTTGTTGTGTTCTATCATGCATATGTACAAACATTTCTTTACTCATTTGTCTACCAGTGGACAATTGGGTTGCTTCCATCTTCCTGCTACTGTTAACAGTGCTGCAATGAGCACAGATGTGTGGATGTCTATTAGTCCTATTACTTTTACTTCTTTAGGGCATATAACTGCCGAGGGACTGCTGGATCATATGGGATTTCTGCTCCCAGTTGTTTGACGTAGTGATATATTGCTTTCCACGGTGGTTGTGCATATTTATAATTCCACTAGCAGTGTATGAGGGTTTCAGACTGCCTGCACTCTCGCCTACACTAGCTCTTTTTTATTGTTTTTGTTTTTAATTTAGCTGTCATTGCCTATGTAAGGTGGTATCTCATTATGGCTTTGATTTGCATTTCCTGGATGGATGATTGTGAGCATTCCTTTCAGAAGGGTATTTTTTTTTTTTTTGCCATTTGGATGTCATCTGCAGTGAATTGCTTGTTCACATCCTTTCCCCACTTTCTAGTTGGGTTATTCATCTTTTTCTTATGTTTAGAGACCAATACCTTGTCCATTGTGTCATTGCCAAAAAATTTCGCTGAAGTCTTTGAAGTACATATGTACTGTATCTTATTTCTAGTAGGCTCCATTTATCCACTGTCTTCTACTATGTGTTTCTTTTATTATAAATGATAGTGTGTCTATGCCCTACAATAGTGCCCTTAAGTTTGACATTATTTTCTGATGATTTTTATAATTCTGCAATTTACATTTAGATTGCTGATCCATTTTGAATTCATTTATGTACATGGAGTTTGACATGAGTCCTGTTTAATTTTTCTGCATATAGAGATCCAATTTTTCCAGAACCATTTGATGAAGGACTCTCTCTTACCAATTTCATGATTTTTAGCCATTTGTTGAAATCAGCTGTCTATAGGTGAATGAATTTGTTTCCAGGCTTTCTACTCTGTTCCATTCATCTATATACCTTTCATTACCCCAGTACCAGGCGGTTGTAACGACTGTGACTGTGTAATGGGCTTTGTGGTCAGTAGTGTGAGGTATCCAAAGTTGTTCTTCTTAAGAAATTATTTAATTATCCTGTCTTTCTTCCATCTCCGTATATCATTAGTAATTCATTTTACAAAAAAAAATTTTTAAATGAAGTTAGGATATGGATCAGAATTGTATTTTATTTATAGATTGCTTTGGATAATTTTGATATTTCCATAATGTTAAGCCTTCCTATCCATAAACATGGAATATTCTTTTAAAAAAGTTTTATTAGCACTCCATCCACATAGTACACCATTCAATAGTTCTGTTATATCAAGAAGGGTTGTAAAATTGTTACCACAATCAATTTTAGAAAATTTTCTTCTTCCTTGTACTCATTTTAATTGTCATTTTTTAATTGTGGCAAAAATATACACAACAAAAATTCTCCAATCCAACAACTCTACGTGTATAATTCAGTGTCAATGATTATTCTTTTCATATTGTAAAACCATTATTGATATCCTTTTCCAAATTATTGCACCACCATTAACAAAAACTTAATGTCCCTTAAGCAGACACTCTGCTTTACCCATGGGCCATTGGTCAAGTTTAGTTTCTCTTCTTTTTTTAGTAGTTCTTGATATAATATTCAAATATCATACACTTCCAGAGTAAAATTGCTTTTTTAAATAGTTGTATATACATCATCACAATCAATTGTAATGCTCTCTCGTCCCCCCTGCATTCATTGTTTGCTCTCCAATTTCCCTCACCCTCCCCATCATTCCCCACCCCCATTCCCCATAAACCATTGCATCAATTATTGTCTCTACCGTCCACTCCTCTGTGCTTCATAAACTGGGAAACCTAACAGAAACAATTAAAAAAAATTAAACAGAAAGAATAAGAAATAAAAGACCAGTAACAATATTTTAAAAGCCAGAGAAGAAATTTCTGTCATGGAACAAGTGAGAAGTACTTGAGCCTAGAGCAGATTCAGATTGGGTGAAGAGGTAGGTCAACTGGCCAAGTATCATATTATACAACATGGAATATTCTTCCCTTTATGTAGGTATCTTTTGGTTTCTTGTAGTAGATACACTATTATCCTTAAATATGGACTTAACACTAATCATTACAACCAAGTCAACAAATGTTTAATTGGTTAGTCTCAGTTGAGTCTGTGATTTCATTAAATTCCTAATACCTTTCATTCTTCATCATCTTTAAAATTTAGAAAATATTATTTTCATGATGTTGTGTGTGGCAGCTACATAATCTGTGTCAAATTGTGAAGGGGTGGAGTCTAGTCTGTCAATAAGGTCACAACTTGATGACCTCATTTGGAGGTGCCATGGAGATAAATAGCTCACTGGAGGCCAAATACACTCAATCCTTGCGAGACATTCCTGTTGACAAGCCACATGGAGCAATGCTGATGGCAGCCAGAGCCTTGTAGCTGGCCACGTGGAGACCCCTTCCAGCATAAAATGCTTCCACTACCAGTGGATCCACAAGACTTTACACCCACTGGCCTGTGATCTTCCTCCACTCGGTGTGAGTCTGAAGAGGATTTTACAGACTGGTACTGGACATATGGGCTAAAATTAGACTTAAGGTCTTGATCTGCACTGGCCTGGGATGTTTTCTTAATGTATGATTACTCTTTATATAAAGCTCTTTCCTATACACATAAGAGTGTCTGAATTTGTTTCTCTAGTCCACCCAGAAAACACATTGTGAATGTGTGTGTATTGTTAAGTTTTTGTGCCTGTCTTAAAAACTTATAAGAAGAAAACTAATGAGATTGTCCTAGAGGCCATGAGCTAAAATAAAAGGAAAAAATCTGTCTGATTTAGTAAAAATTATGTATTAAGTTATTCAATTATGGCAATTAAGAACTATCTGATAAAATTAAAGTTGTCATAATCTTCCCTTACTATTTTTATTGAAATATAACTGCAGAAAAGTAATAATTGAATAGTTCATGAACCTTCATACAATGAATATATTAATCTAATCACAAAGTATGAGACAAAGTACATCCTTAGCCCTTCCATCAGATCCTACACCGTCTACCTGCTGAAGATGATTGGTCTCCTGGGGTCATTCACAGCAGAAGGAAACACAGTGCATTCTCACAAATGTTATGTTTACGTCCATTCTTGCAGACTCTATGCCAATCCATCCCATTCATGGTCTCTTTTTTTAGCTGCTGTTCTAATTTGTGATGTCCTTTTTCAAGGACTGGTCTCTCCTGATAAAATGTCCAACATATGTGAAATGAAATCTTGTCATCCTCATTTCTAAAGAACATTCTCATCACAATTCCTCTAAGACTAATATGTTTGCTCTTGTGGCAGCTCATGCTGTTTTCAGTATTTTTCATCAGCACCATACAAATACATACATTCTTCTGAAATATTCTTTATTTTTTGTCCAGTTATCATAGGCATACAAGGTGATTGAAAATATCATGGCTGGGTCAAGTACATCCTAGGTCTAAAAGTAACGTTCTTGTTCTTTAACACTTTAAGGAAAGCTATGCAGCAGATATGTCCAATAAAGTATATAATTTAATTTTTTGACTGCTGCTTCCATGGACATTGTGGATCCAAATAAAATGAAATCATTGACAAGATTAGTCTTTTCTCAGCTTATTATAATGCTGCCTATGGGCCCATTTGTGAGGGATTTTGTTTTCTTTATACTGACCTGTCTTCCCTGCCGAAGACTGTAGTATTTGTTCTTTATGAGTAAGTGCTTCATGTCCTCTTGGCTTTCAGCAAGTATGGTTAAAACATCTGTATATCACTGTTGGTATGCATGTACCTTTATCAAAGTGACATTTTCATTTTCCAATACTTAACCAAAAAAAATAAAGGTATTTTGCAGCTGATTTGTCCAATTTTTGTGTGTTGGTTTTGACATTTCTGGGCATTGATTGTTGACTAAAGTAGAATAAAATCATTGGAAAGGATTCTAGTCAACCTATTCCTTCCAAAGAATATGCTGACCTCAGTTTAAAATATTCAGATTTCCTATCCATTGATGCCACACTTTCATCCTACTTTCCTACCTCTAGCTTTTTGGAAATCATTGGTGATGTCGGATGGATCTTGGCTGAAAGCAGAAAACACCAGAAAGATATTTTGTGTTTTATTGACAATGCAAAGGCATTCCGCTGTGTGGCCCCAAATAGATTATGGATAACCTTGATAAGAGTGGGAATTCCAGAACACTTGTTTGTGTTTATGTGGAACTTGTACATGGATCACGAGGCAGTTGTGAGAACAGAACAAGGTAATACTGCCTCATTTAAAATTAGGAAAGGTGTGTATCAAGGTTTATCCTCTCACTATATTTATGTATGGTATGTGTTGAGCAAATCATCAGAGGAGAAGAAGAATGAGGCATCAGGATTGGAGGAAGGCTCATTAACAACCTGTGATATGTAGAAGACACATCTCTATTTGCCGAATGTGAGGACAGCTTGAACATGAAGATCAAAGATTGCAGCCTTCAGTATGAGTTATGATTCAATGTAAAGAAGACCAAAACCCTCACAAGTTGGCCAATAGGGAACATCCTGATAAATGAAAAGGTTGAAGTTGTCAAGGATTTTCTCTTTCTTGGCTCCACAATCAATATTAATGGAAGCAGTACTCAAGAGATCAAATGATGCATCCCGTTGGGTAAGTCTGCTGAACTAGACCTCTGTAGAGCATTGAAAAGCAGGGATGTTTGAGAACTAAGGTGTGCCTGACCCACGCCATGGTATTTTCAATTGCCTCATTTGGATGTGAGAGTTGGACAATGAATAAGGAAGACCTGAGAATAATTGATGCTTTGGGATTACAGTGTTGGAAAAGAATATTGGAAGTACCGTGGACTGCTAACCAATCTGTATTGGAAGAAGTAAGGCTAGAGCAAAGAAGTAAAGGCTAGAGTGGTCCCTTAGAGACAAGAATGGCAAGACTTCTTTTTACAGACTTTGAACATATTGTCAGGAAAGGCCAGTCCCTGGAAAGGCAGCAAAACAAGAGCAAGCTCCTCAACAGGATGGATTGGCACAGTGGCTGCGACAGTGGCCTCGGGCAGAGAAACAATGGTGAGGATGGCACAGGACTGTGCAGGGTTTGCTCTGTTGTCCTTAGGGTCTCTGGGTTGGAACCTATTTGATGGCACTTAACACCGACAGCCTTTAGGTGATTGTTTTGTTTTTAAACATTGTTTAAGCTTATTCTTTATCAAAGATTTTTTTCCAAATTACTTTCAAATGGTATGGTCACTATTCTATTAAAAGTCCTTTTTTCTTGTGATAATGACCTCCCTTCTGCTGAATAAAGTTTTTGCCTATCATAGTCTTGATTTCCTTCAATATCCTGAACTAACTATCATCATTTAAAGACAATGTTTAGTGCTTTCGTTTAGAAAAAGTGGATACAAAAATGAGCTTGCATCTGAAAGTTTAATAGACATCAAGTCAACTCTGACTCCTGGTAACATCAGGTGTTAGAGCGTAGTACTGGGCCCCATAGCATTTTCCTAGTTGTATGCTTTACAGTAATGCTACTCAGATCAATTGCCCCCCTGAAGTACAAGTATTTATATGTACTGTTTGCTGCCTTGGAATTGGTTCCATGCACGGGAGAACTAAATGGTGCATACCCGTGAATACAGGTCTACTGTATGGAAGGTGAGAATTCTACCACTGAATTATCACTGCCACCTGAAAGCAAGACAAAAAGGATGGAAGGTCTGGTGCTCTACTTCAAAGACTGAGCTCATGAAAATCCACTGAGGTTGGATCACATGGTCCAACCCGCAAATGACCCAGAGATGCACAGAACCTGGCACTGTTTGCTTTCTTGTGCATGGGGTTCCTGTGAGTCAAGGGTGATGTGAGGCTAGCTAATAAACGTGATTTTGACTTCTTTTTCTGTAAGCTGCCTCTTTCATTCAGCACAGTTTGTTTGAGAGTCATCTGTGTCAGAGCCTATATCAGAACTGCATGTCTACTTCTGCCCGAGTAATCGCCCATTGTATGGATGTACCATCTTTTTCATTGATTCATTTATCTATTGATGAACATTTCAGATGCTGCCACCTTTTGGCTGTTGAGAACACTGGTGTGCAGTTTCCTGGTTTTGTTTCCGTTCTTTTGTGTATGTACCTTGGTTTGGGGTTGCTGAGACAGTTCCTTACTGTTTTCTTTAAACATGTCTGCATTCTAATTGTTGTCGTCGATGAGTTGATTCCAACTCACAGACACTCAATGTGTGCAGAGTAGAGCTGCCCCCCAGGCTTTCCAAGCTGTGACAGTGCGGAAGTACATCAGCAGATCGCTTGTTTTCCAAGGCATCTTAGGGGAATTTGAACTGTCTAACTCTTTATTAGTAGTCAAGCATTTATCTCTTTGTGCCATCCTGGGACTCTTGTGTTCTAATAGAAGATGCATATGTTAATTAGTTTTTTCTGTTGACATAGGCTGCTAAGGCAATTCTCATCCCAAGATTTAATGGTCATTGGTTGTCATGAAATCAAAGCTCTCTCAACAGCAACTAACAACAACTCTTTTTTCTCTTAGTAGAGAGACCTAAGCCACTGTACTAAGTAATACATAATGTAGAGATTGAGAGAAAAAGTGAATAAATTGTGAACTTTCAAATTAATGCAATCATCTTATTATTTAAGTTATCTTTTTAAAAGAGACGCTTCCCTTTCATAAGGTCCTTAGATGGCAGAAATATCTTGCCCTCAACTACTTACCTGAAAGTCAGCAGCTTGAACATATACAACAGTGCCAGGGAAGAAAGCCTGTCCATCTTTTCTGTAAAGATTACAACCCAGAAAACTATGGAATAGTTCATCCCTGTAATACCCAGAATCATCATGAGTTGGCATGAACTCACTGGCAAGGGATTTGGTTTTCTGGCCTTCCTTGCATAGCTTTGTCTGTTTCAGTAGAATTAATCTAAATATGTATATATAGAATATACTGTGCCACAGAAAGGGAGAGAAACCTGAAAACCATTTCAAATTATTTTTTCTAAAAAATGAAGAAAGCATGGGTGCATATAGCATATATAATTTCTATAGCATGAATAAGATATTAAGGAGATACATTTGCAAAGTTACATACCAGTTTGGGTCAGGATTTCTGTGCTGGGATAGCATGTTTGAATTCATGTTTGAACTACCAACAGTTTCTTCAAAATGAGTTCTAATAACCCTAGGACACTTTCTTGTCTTTGGCCTTCCACTCATTTTCCCACAGTGCATAACAAGAAGCTAGTAGAAAGAGAACTATCATTCATGTTCTCTTTCTCTCTTATGGTAAGCATGAAACTATAGATAACAATATATAATGATGTTTTTGCTTTTCTTTTTGAAACTCCACGAATGTTTCTCCTTCAAGGGAAAAGCTGTGAGTGAGTCAGTTTGAAATGCCTCTGACTCTTCTATTACATCATTCATCTATGACACATCATAATGGCAATATGGACCCCCATCATCTGCAGAGGTTGTGTGCACACATTCCACTGCCCAAGTGACAGCACATCCTTCTAAACCGAGGCTTAAAATGTCTTAATGTAACATATTTAAAACATGCTAAATAAGTACACACTACTCTGCTGTAAGGGAGCCCTGGTGGTGCTGTGAATTCAGCAGTGTACTGCTACCAGAGATCAGTGGTTCAAACCACTAGCCACTCTACAGGAGAAATATGAGGCATCTATAAAGGTTTACAGTCTTGAAAACCCTATGTGTGATATGGTCAGTATGAGTCAGATTTTACTCTGAAACGGTCAGTATGACTCAGATAGCAGTGGTGGGTTATTCTGCTATACTTGTCTTCCAGTTTGTTGTGCTGTGGTGATTTGTGTGTTATAATGAGGATGGAAGAGGTATTTCAAAATTCCACTGATATTTCAAAAATCAGTACAAATACCTATAGCAAAGAGCTTTGAGTGGAGCTTCCAGCCCAAGACAAATGACTTCTTACACGTTAGCCTTTGAAAATATCTATGCATCTGTGGAGACAAAGGTTCTTTATGTGACCTTTTAACTTTGATCTTTGGGGGGGGGAGGTTGGGGTAAGCTTGCAAAAATACTCACCCATCCTAAAAACAGCTTGAGAAAACTACTCACCTTTGCCCTAGTTTTCTACCCCAGAGAGTTTATTACTTTTATCCAAATTGATTAACATTTTCTCCATAAATTGTAAACCATTTTGTTTTGATACTTTATCTGGTCCTGTGTTGCAGTCTGTCCTGTGTTGGCTATTCATCTAGGTCATCTACCCTTTGGTAGTTAGTTAATTCTTTAACTAAGTCCCTTCCGGTCAAACAATAGTTTAATAAGCAGTTTAGCACAAAGAATTTTGCCGCAGCTATTGAGTTAATTTTGAAAATGATCTTTGTGCAGCCAGTTTCGAAAAGTAGGACTCAAAGGACTGACTTGCGGCTGTGTTTTAGGTTATGTTGCGTGTATTTGGTGATTCTGTTTCTGTATCTAATGACCTTGAACCCTTCTTGCTCTAGTGCTATCTACTGAGAAATTAACATAGCAAATAACTATATAACTCAATTCCACCGGCCCCTTTTGGAGTGCCTTCCCAATATGTTTGGGTGATGTTACTTGATTCAAATTATATTTCCCCACCATCACAATGTAATCCACCACATAAAAAAGACATGATGCTTATTCTGATTAGTATTTGAGATTTCCAAATGTATTCAGAATTCTAACGTTCCCTCTTTAGTACAGGTTCTCTAGAAAAACAAAAGGAGTGAGGCTTATATATTTATATATACATAGAAATTTCTATCAAGGAAATTATAGAAACATTTTTAACACAGTTGGAGAGGCAACCAACTCCCAAGTCCATGGGTAGAGTGTCAGGTAGGAGGCTTCTCCTGATTCAGAGTGGCAATGGCTGATGAAGCCACGATGAGCAAGTCAGATTGCAAGCATCCCATTATTCATGTCTAGTTTGGGCACCATGTTTTTCTAATTTAGACCTTAAATATACTAGCTTCAGCAAAAGGCCCTCTAAATACATCAAATCTTCACAGAGCTGAAGCGATAAATAAAAAAACTCAAAAATAATAGTAGCAGACTTCAAGCCACCACTCTCAAGGAAAGGCAGATGATTAAGAAAGAAATAAAGAACTTCACAACACAACAAATCAGCCTGCCCTCCTAGATATATACAGAGTACTTCAGCCCGACAACAAATTAGACGTTCTTCACCAAACCCATAGTTGATACTTTTAAAATAGACCAAATTCATACACACTGAGATCCTACAAAGCATGAGAAGAATTATAAAACTGGAACATAAGGACAAACATATGGAGACTGAATAACTCATTACTTTAAAAAAGCCTGGGTATTAGTCCAAATAAGGGATGAAATTAAGATGTTCCTTGAACAAAATAACACAATAACACAACAAACCAAAACTTTTGGGACACAGCAAAAGCAGTCATCAGAGGCAAATACATAGCAAGCAATGCACACATGAAAAACAGAGAAAATTGAAATCAACAATTTAATGCATGCCCAACAATTAGAACAAAGGCAACATCATAAACCCCCACAGTAGAAGAAAAATCATAATTATTGCAAAAATAACTGATCTGGAAAACAGAAAAACAATGAGAAAAAAAACAAGACAAGTGTGTTCTTCTATAACATTAAAATTGACAAGTCTCTGGCAAACTTAACAAAGGGAAAGAAAGGATGCAAATATCTAGAATTAGAGATGAAAGGGCACTGTAACAATAGACTGAACTGAAATAAAAGAATAATAAAACACTTCTATGAAAAGCTGTACTCCAAGAAGCTTGATACCCTAGAAGAAATTGACTGATACCTAGAAATACACTATCTACCCAAATTAACACAGATATAACTAGAAAATTTTAACAGACCCATAGCAAAAGAAGATATAGAGAAAGTCATCAATTTATTCCAAATTAAGAAAAGCCCAGGACAAGATGGCTTTACAGGGGAATTCTACCAAGCTTTTACTAAATAACTCAATTCTACACAAAGTATTCCAGAATATATAAAGTGACAACAAACTCCCCAATTCATTTTATGAAGTGAACATATTCCTGCTATAAAAACCAGACAAAGCTCCCATAAAGATAGACAAGTACAGATCAATAACCCTCATGAACATGGACACAAAACTCAACAATATTCTGGCCAACAGAATCTACCAACTTATAAAACAATAATTATAATAACACAACACAACAAGTGGGATTCATCCAAAGGATGCAAGGTTGATTAAACATTAGAAAAAACAACATAATTCGCCACACAAAAAAGACAAAAGAACCATGTGGTCATATCAATAGATGCAGAAAAGGCATTTGATAGCCAACTCCCATGTGTGATTAAAAACAATAAAAATAAAGAGGCTTATATCAAGATGTAATTATATATCAAGAAGGCATCCTATCCCAGTCCAACTTAAGTCCATAAGTCCAATGCTAGTCCACAAGACCTTTTTCAGACTCATGTAGCAACATGCTGGCGGCATAGAATGGGGAACCAGGAAGTAGGAAGATCACATACTGGTGGATGCAAAATCATGTGGACCAAATCAGTGGAAACAAGCCTATTAGGGTCATTGGCAGAATCCCAGCAAACAGAAAGACACAGAAGCAGAGAAAGAGGGAAATCCCAGGTTCCCCACGTAAAAGAAGAACACAGCTTCAACAAGCCATCCTCAGGCTATGACCTGATTGACAGGTTGGATATCCACCTCTGTACTTTCATAAAAACTCAAGTTGACATAAAATCATCTAACTACCTCGACACTCAGGTTGTTGCCTATCACCCCTCTAATTGAACTCCCATCTAATTCAACATTGTGCTAGAAGTTTTAGCTAGAACCATTAGACAACAGAAAGAAATCATAAACATATATGTATATCATATGTGTGTATGTCTCTGTGTGTGTGTGGTGTGTGTGTATCCCAAGGACTCCAAAAAAAGATTGTTAGAAAACAAGGAATTTGGCAAAGTAGCAAGGTACAAGATTAACATACAGAAATCAATCCAATTCCATTATAACAGCAACAACAAAAACTCAGAAAAAGACATCAAGGAAACAATACCATTTACATTAGCTACACAAAAGACGAAATACTTAGGATTAAAAAAAGAAAAGAACAAAAGACCTATACAAGGAAAACTATAGAACACCACTACAAAAAACCAGGAGACCTACAAAAAGGAAGAATATCCCATATTCATGGATAGGTAGACTTAATAGAGTGAAAACATCAACCCTATGTTAAGTAATCAATAAATATAATGCAATTTCAACTTAAATCCCAATTTCAGTCTTTAAAGAAATGAAAAGACAAATAACCAACTTCATAGAGAGAGAGAGAAGAACCCTTGGATAAACAAAAATCTCACAAAGAAGAAAAATGTAGGAGGAGGCCTTGTACTACTGACCTCAAAAACCTGTAACAGAGCCATCACTAGTCAAAACAACCTGGTACTAATAACAGACACATAAGTCAATGGAACAGAAATAAAAGCATCCATCCACAGGCAACTGATATTCAATAAAGGACTGGAAAAAAAACCCCACATTAAATGGGGAAAAGGCACCCCGTTCAGCAGCTGGTGCTAGAAAAACCAATTACATTTGCAGAATGAAGAAGACCTACTTCTCCCTTCATGCACAAAAATGAACCCAAGATGGATTAGAGACCTAAGTGTAACTCCCCAAACTATAAGGATCCTTAACGAGAAAATTAGGACAAATTTAGGTGACCTACTACAGCAGGGAATACACAGAATACCAAGCTTAATATAGGAAGCACACACTGCTGAAGACATAATAATTGAGTGGGACTTATACATATCCAGTGAAGGATCATCATGACTGGCTTATTTTTACAAAATGGAAAATTTAATTCCTCAATGCACAGATTTCCTATTTGTATGGAAACTTTGAATATACTTTAAAACCGTATTGTTTGCGATCTGCCTGATCTTATGATGGGGTTCCAAAACACACGTAGAATTGCGCAGGAGCAGACAGCAAGGCAAGCATCAAGCACCTTGCTCTGAGTTAGTGCACCCACTGGCATCTCCTGGGTAGGTGCTCTCTGTAAATATCAAGTGTACAAGTGGTTTTCGCGTTTCAAAAAGGTGAAA